AGGGCGGTATGAGCGAAGGCTTGCGCGATTGGGATCTCTGGGGTCCACTGGTGTTCTGCCTGCTTCTGAGCTTGTTCCTCTCGAGAGGAGCGGCAGACGAGCAGAAGTCTCTGGTATTCTCTGGCGTTTTCGCAATGGTCTGGATTGGAGAGGCTATGGTCACCTTTCAGATCAAGCTGCTGGGTGGAAACATGTGAGTGAAGCACTTTCGACATACCCGCGCAGCACTAACAACCTCTCTAGATCTTTCTTCCAGGCCGTTTGCATCATTGGATATACGCTGTTCCCGCTGGTCATTGCCTCCCTGATGAGCGCGTTGCACCTTCCTACCATCGCCAGGATTCCGGTCTACATTGTCCTGGTCGCGTGGTCACTTGCTGCTGGTGTCAGTATTCTGGGTGGTTCTGGCGTGGTCAGGAACCGCGTTGGAATTGCCGTATATCCTCTTTTCGTGTTTTATGTTAGCTTGGGATGCTTGTGTTTCATCAGCTAGCCGCAAACCAGATCGGCCTTTGTTTCTTTTTTGTTCCTCTCATTCTTTGCTTTTTGCATCGAGAGGCAGGGATCTGTCCTGTATACTTCGAATAAAGCGCGGCGCAACAGGAACCGGAGAGCCAGTGTTTCGGGAATTGGCCATGTGCATTACCATGTATCAACGGAATTACAAGTCAAGTGCGGATATCGAAGTCAAGGTTCTCTGGCAGTGCAATGGTGAGCTTGGGAAGATTCCTACGCTCTACCTGAACAGCCTTCATCATATGATGGTGTAGGTATCGCACTGTGGGCTATTTGATTCATAACGATGGATGCTATCCCCGAGGTCAAGGTTATTATAGTCGATGATTTTAGGCTCGACTGAAGGCGAGAACCAGGAGCGGCAAAATAGCATGCGATTTGTGCTCCCCAGCCAAGGCGAACAGGAGATTGGATTTCCAGTCTCGACGCGGCTGTGCGACTGAGCCTCCCGCGGGGTCGCTCACTGACTTGGCTTAACTTTGGGAGCCGCGTCTTTATCCATCCAAGACACTCTCTCCCGTCCCGCACTCGGCCTCGCGACCTTGATCCAAGACTCGGTCACTTCTCTGCTTCTCACAACCCCATTCGCATTGCGTGCCGCATCACGACTCCAAGTCTCGGCTTCCACCAGATCGCTTTCACTCCCCTCAGTCAACCCTCACGCTGCTCCCTGGCAGTATCCTTATCGGAGACCCACGGCCGTCCAGTAGTCGCTTTACACGGGTAATTGCCTCTCCCGCCGTGCGCCAACTCACACCTCGCGGGACAGCGACTGACTCCATCGCCTCGACGGACAGTGCAGCATCGATTGAGCGCGTTCACAGGCGTCCACCGCCCTCTGGCCCCTCCAGCATCGACAGCATCAAACGAGATCAACTGCACCACCTCACGTTCTTCCCAGCGGCACGAGCGCGCCCAACGCACGGTCGAGCCTAGAATTTGGATAGCTACATACCTGCTTGCCCTCGTGCCCCGAACTCGCCAGCACTGCTCTTTGTCGCATCTCTTCTCCTGACCGACAGCCGTCAGTCGACGACCCTACTCGTATCTTCGGCATCGCTGCCCGCCATGACGCGCTCGTCCTCCCGCCTTCGTAGTGCCCCGCGATCTGCCGACGACCCAACGCAGCCCGGCGTCACAGCGGAACCTAGAGCTCCCTCATCGGCTTCGGTACGCAGCAGCGCCGCCTCGGATAGCGACACGGAAAACGCTGAACGCCCTGTGCGACAGCAGCTGAGGAAGGCGACGTTGGGTCCAGCTTACAAGGAGACTTTACCAGAAAACCACACAATGGGCGAGGCTTCGGACACCGCCAAGGAGGCATACGACAAGCCGACTGAAAAGACCATTGACCAAGACGCGGAGAGCAACGGCAAGCGGGGCCGTGTGAGCCGCAAGAGGAGCTTTGAGCAAGCCGAGACGGAACAAGGCGACGACCTCAAAGTCGAAAAACATTCCAGAAAGCGCTCGAGGGACTTTACCATCAGCGGCAACGAACCAGAAGTCACCCGAAGGAAGACGTCTGGCGAGAACTCTGAACAAGGATCGGAGGATGATATAAAGGCGCCAGAGTCGGCGTCTGTCGAGAGGAATGCAAAAGATGCGGCCAATGACCGCGCTGTCACGCCCGAGATTGCCAAAGAGCATGGGAATGCCGTGATGAGCCCTAAGAACAAGCGAAACCGCGAGGAATTTGAGGAGGAAGAGATCACTGCTACCTCACTTTCGAACAACAACGGCGGCGACGCTCCAAAGCAAGATGAGTCGGACGATGCGAGCGGACCCGAGGGCGCTGAACGATCCGACGTACCAAAGAAAGCCAAGCGTCACAGAGATAGCGACAGCTCACAGCCCGAGGTCAAGGACAAGTCTGCTGCAGACGCCAAACCGGCCGAGACGAAGGTAGGTGTTCAATTGCCCTTGCCAGTCGACTCGCCGCAAGATGATACTGATCACACGAAGATCCCACCATCCAGTGGTTTCTCCAACACATCCACTGTGTCGCCATTTGGCGCCTTAGCAGGGAACAAATCTCCACCTGCGGCCGCCGCTCCACAGACCTCCGAAAGTGCATTCAAGGCCTCCGGATTCGGTGCCTTGGCTTCGACTGCATCTCCCTTTGCTACAATGGCTGGAAAACCTGCTGCCAGTCCCTTCGCCACCGCCGCTGCTGGTGCTAAGCCCGCGATTTCTGGTCTTTCCAGCTCATCTTCAACCAGCGCCTTTGGTGGCCTGTCCGCCTCTTCGGAAGGCAAGTCCGCATTCGCTACGGCTGGCTCCTCCGGCTTCGGGGGTCTTGTGGGAGGGTTTGGCAGCGGAAGCGGCTTTGGAGGCATTGGTTCTGGCAGTAAGCTCGGCGGCTTTGGTGGCGGCAGCGGTCCAAAGATTACTGGGCTCAGCGACAAGCCCGCAAAGCCATTCGGTGCCGCCGCCGATGACGAGGAGGAGGGCTCCGGTGACGACGGCGACGAGGAGGGCAACAAGAGTCCCATTAAGGCGCAACAAGACGAAGACAAGAAGGACGAGCGGTTCTTCGAGCAAAATGGTACGTATCCGTGCCTAGACCTTGCAAAGAGTTTTTCCCTACTCACACAACCTCCCCTCACAGTGGAAACGGGCGAAGAGAACGAAGAAACCATGTTTGTCTCTCGCGCGAAGTTATACATCTGGAACTCCGACGACGCTCGATGGCAAGAGCGCGCCGTGGGGAATCTGAAAGTCAACGTGGTGAAGCAATCCAAGGAAGATAAGAAGGCCAAGGTGCCTAAAAAAGCGCGCTTCATTATGCGCTCGGATGGCAGCCACAGGCTTGCTCTCAACTCGCCTATCCAGAAAGAGCTCAAGGTCGGCGGTGACGCGGCGGGGAAGAGGCCTGTCAATAAGACGATCATGTTCCAAGGTCGCCTGGATGAGGGTGAGGGATTGAGGACGCTGAGTCTGAAGGTACGTTTTGCAGTATTTGTAATGTTTTTGCTTCGCTTTTGAGATAGAGTGCCCTTCCCGGTTTTTACGAGACAGAAAGCTGATGCTGACTACGCGCATGCAGATGAAGGAGGAAAACGCAATCGCGTTATGGGAGAAGGTGACGGCGTTGCAGGAGGAGATGTGAGGACATCACAATCCTATCCACTTCAATACCGCACGCTTCTCTCCTCTTCAATCTACGACCGTTCTCTCTCACCACTTCCTGTTCTCATGCTTCCACTCCATATTGGATCGGTGCCTGCTGGATTGGTAGTTCCTCGAAAACTCGATCAACATGGCGAAGCGGGAAATGTGTAATCCAGCGCAACATGTTCACGCATCACGACCGCTGACGAGGCACTACACCGTTCCTAACGGCGGACTCTCTTGGCACCTCAGTATCTCCTCTGATCCGCTGCTCTGTTCGCGAAGAAGCAGACGTATTATCCGGAAAATCTTGGCAGCTACAGTTGTGCTCTTGCCTTGACGGAAAATGAGATGCATAGACATCATTCACACCGCCAACGCCACCATCACCGTCCATACTTGCTCCCTTCCTCCTCCTCCTCCTCTTCTTCCATGCACGCATATCCTTGGTCGTGCTGCTTGGAACTCCTCCTTGCTTCTTTTGTTGTCCTAATTCTGCTTCTAACTCTCTGTTTCCCTCCTCTTTTCTCTTTGGTCTAAAGAGATCATGACACGCCGGGATGCTGTTCCACGGAAAGGTGATGGTTGGTACAAAATCATATGCATGGGAGTGGTGCGACAGTCAGGGCTGGGGATTGTTTGGTCTTGTGAGGAAAAGGATGTGGTGGGATGTGAATGATAGTAAGGGGTGGGGGAAAAGGTACTAGATATAGGCAGGGGAATGAGGGAGTGGTCTCTGTGGATTGTTCTAGATGATGTGCACGTGATCGATATGAGATGCTCCAGTGATTGAGGTTGGGCTAGGGAATGGCTTGTTGCAGGTGATGAGGTATCTGGAAGCGTTGGGGGCTGATGTACCTGACTCTTGTGGTATAAGAAAGATATCCTGATCCTACTAGTGAATCAGGACAGGTAGTGGTGAGTATCCCAAATGTTGACGTACTAAGTGGGAGCTGACTGACTGATGACTGTTCTATGCCATTATTCTCCCACAAAACGGAATAGTAGGTACGGATACGCTTCAAGTAACTCCGGCCCTCGGCTCTCTCTCGTAAAACGAATGGTCGGGTCTCTCCCGGAGCTGCCAATGCTCGCGTTGGCCAAAGCTCAAAAATCTCTACGTCGGTCCGAAACAAAATCTCCACCACGCCAACCAACAGCAGTCAAAAAAAAACTCAAAAGCACAAGCAACAAAAGATGTGAAATGACTGCAAAACACACTCAACACGATTCAATATTCATAGTCCAAATCTCTAATGTTTCAATCCGAAGCACTCACCAAACCCTTCCTCCAATCTCACCACCAACAAAAAATCAAAAAGAACACTCAGATTACCTTTTCGGGTAACCTGGAGTGTTGTGAAAGCTAATGATGATGGGAGTGGGACTCGAACCCACGCTCGTTTCCGAACCAGGAGATTAAGATGTATGATCCTAAACTTGATGTCAAGGGTGTACCTTAACCTGGCGCCATAACCAACTCGGCCATCCCACCTTATGCTTGTTTGATGAAAACCAAATCGGGGGTGCTGATTATAGAGAAATAGGCGGGAGAGGGCGAGATGAGCCGAAGGTAACAAGAGGGGCCAGGGTGTGCTTGAGTAAGTTGGCGGACTTGGGTTTGAAGATCCCACTTTTTGCTTGTTTGATCGAAGGAAGTTCGGAGAAATAAGAGAAGTGATGGTGGAGATACCAAGATCAAAGGCACGCCGGAAGAGATAAATGAGATAGCATGAAGTGACGGTAAGATGTTGAGTGTGTTTCCTGATCCTGGAATGCCATAAAAAGTGCGAAAGTGTCCCACATCGTGGCTCAATGGCAATGCTAATACACGGGGGATATTAGTGCGACCTCGCAGATCGAAATGGGGTTGAAATTTGACCACCGTCGTGGGAGGAGGAAGATGTCGAGCCAGCTCCTCAGGTCGACGAATTCTTGAAGGTACGGGCACTGGATGTCCGGAATCGCTCAACCACTTTGAGGCAGCTTCTCGGGACTCAGTACCTACCGGGGTCAGGTGATTTAGAACAAAAATCTTAGCTGGAAGATCAGTGGATTGATGAAGTGGTTGAACGAGTACCTAATGACTACGGACATGGGGAGAAGTGTTGGCGGCGAAGGATCCTGAATTCCCAGGGCAACACCAATAAGTTAACTACGCTACCGGCAAACCCAAACGGATACCTTAAGCCACTCTTTTCACAACCAACCCCAAATTCTACTCTCTATACCACGAATGCCTGGTCGATCGGCGCTTTGTCGCCTACCTTCCAAAGCTCTATCCGCAGGTCGTCTGACAAGTTCGTGGCGGCCACAGATCCACCTTCGAATATAGGCTCTTCCGAGGAATCGGGTCCGTCTCTCGTGACGAGAGCACGACGCTCAAGGCGTGCTGCATGCTGGGATCCAGTGATGATTCTCAATGTCGGCCTCACCTCATTATCAGCTTCGAGGGTGTAACTCCAGTCCACGATGTCACCATCGTCATGTCCCTCAGTGCGGATGCTCGCTCGAGAACCCGGCGCGGCAAAAGCACGATGCTTGGGCGAAAGTTCGAAGATGCGGCGGTAATAACCTGGCTTACGGCCTTGTTCATTGGTGTCATCTGCCGCGAGCAAAGCACCGATTGTCGATGGTTTCTGAGAGACATCGCTCGGCTTCGGAACACTCTGAACGAGCAAAAGTAGTTTCTCGTTTCCTTTGGAAAACACAAGATTGACTAGGTCTTCCAGTTGCATTGCGTTGCCTGCGTACAGCCTGGATAGGTTTGCAGGACTGATTGGAAGTGGGAGAAAGCTGGCAAGCTGATGGATCAAGGGGAGGGTCAGGAAGGAGTCATCCATGATCGGTTCCTGAGAAGGCTTCGTGGACTGATCACCTGTCTCTTTGACTAATGTTGCAAAGATGGGTCCGAAACCGTCGTACAAATTCGGCTATTGATTGGATGTCAGCATGACATCGACCTTCTGCTCATTGGATTGGATGAAATATCTTCGTACTTACCAGCAGTGTTATCAACGTTTTCCGGAACTCCGCATAAGGGATCCTGCGCCCAGCCTTACCTTCTTTGAGCTCGATGATCCCAGCCATGATAGATGAGACAACTTCGTCCAAGCCTTGCTCGTTATCCGTCAAGTCTTCGGCCCGGCAGCCAACGGTGTATTGACCCATCACAAGCAGCAATCGGATCAGAGAGCCAAGATCTTCGTAGGCCACTTCACCACGTAGATCATCCGAGTGGCAAGGGGGCAGGGCTGACACAGGCGGAAGCGGGAGGCCTCTCTTCACAACTTTGGGGTTGTCGGGGTCCCTCCACTTGTTGTTCTTCTCCAAAAGCTCTAGAACCGATCGAACATCATCTTTTATCTCCGATTCATGGTGACTCGCCGGCGCTTGTCCGTCCGCCTGGGTTGCGCGACCTCTCAGGCTCTGGAAAAGCAGTCGAGTGCGGATTTCGGCGGCTTTGCTTTCTTCCTCGACGACATCGTCGGCATCGAGAAGGTCCCAGAATTTACGCCAGTATTGGCCTGTCAGCAGTGCGACAGCGACCTTGAAGCATTTGAGGGTCAAGACATTCTGGTCCGCCTGTTGATGATACGGATAACTGCCAAGGCGAACAACCAGACGGTATAGAACTGGGCCAACCGTGTCAAGCCGGAGAATGGTCGCGGGGAAATTGTCGGAGAGGTATCGAATGAAGGTCTCCTCGGTCCAGACTGCAGCAATCAGTTTCATGCATTAGGGGAAATCTCTTGGAAGGCTGATATACAGGTTACCATTCCATCGGATTGAGAGAGATCTTGGAATTTGGAGAAAGGGTTGGTTGAGTAATCGAAGCATTTGTTGCTGACTATGTTGGCATGTCTCTGCAAGATCTGGTCTCTGGTAGTAATCGGATCCATGATACTCTCAAGACGATGCGAGATCTTAGGGCTGGGAACGGAGGAATGGTCTGTCGTGCTGAAGAAGAACGAGGTGAAACACTACAATATGGGTAGGAAACCGCAGGAGAATTTGACGGGAAGAAAAGACGCAAGCCCAGCCAATGCAGGTGACTCAAAGCAAGAAACGTGGTCAATTCGGAGTGAGCGTCTAGATGGACGAAGCAGATGTTGGATTGACGTAGGCAGAGTCGACGGTGGTCCTAGCTCGAAGCCTCGCGAACACACCTGGGGGCCGGAAAAGTCAACAACACCACACAGCCCAATACTCATGACAGTCGAGTTGGACTGTCAGTCAACCCTCCACAAAAGCGGCCATGAAGCCAACATCCAGCCCCAAGGCGTGGCCAGCCCACGCCAAAAGTCCGATCTGGATGACCCACTTCATTCCCGTCCATCTTTGCTCCCGCGTCATTGTCCCCAGTCCCTCCAACCAACAAAGACCCAACACCACATATCCCAACACCGGATTTCCATTACCCGAAGCAAATGCTGCCGCTGCCGCAATCATGCCGACCATGAGGATCGACTGCCGATTCGCCGCCCAGCTGCCTGCTGGCACGGGGCTCTGGGACATCTGATAGACGATGAACACGGTGCCGACGGAAAGACCACCTCTCGCCAGTCCGTCCACTGTTTGTGTTGTTGTCGAAGGAGTAAACAGTGCAGAAGCGGGTGCGGCGTGACGGACTTGCCACACGGCGCCCATCGAGATGGGGACGATGAGAGGACGAAGAGAGAGAATTGCGCTGGTAGCCATGATGACGCTGACTTGTCTCAGAGGTATGAAATTCCAATTTGGAAGTGGAGAGGATGATGGCTTAGCCAGACAAGAAGCAAGAATGTGAGTTTTAAGTACGCACAGATGGCTATATACGGATATGGCTGCCTTGTCTGTTGTCTGTCCTCTATGACCGGCAAGACGAAGCAACCAACACAAAGGAAAACAAACATGTCGCCCCCAAAATCACAACGTCCAAGCCCCCGCAGCTCATCCCGGCCTCCGATCATTCGATTCAGAACACCGCAAATCTTTCCCTCTGCTCGCCGACTTTAGGCCGAAAAAGGCTCCACCAGGGACTCCGCGCCACCAATCGAGCGGCGACCGGTGCTGGTGGTTGTTGGAACTGTGGCGGCGGTCCCAAAGACACATTGAGTGTTGTACACCTTGCTGCAGGTGTAGCTAACAGCAGCGCCAAAAGCTACCATAACCATTGCCCCAACCATTTCCTCTGGACTATCGGTGGCCACTCCTTTGGCTAATGCAGCCGAGCCAGCCGCAAGGGCCATCTTGCCCGCGTGGCAGCATGCCTTTCCCGGGTCGACGCGCTTGTCAAGCTCTCCAGCGGTGTCGGTCTCGAGGAAATAGTTCTTGAATGCTCGAGGGTTGAGCGAGCGCAGCTCCTCCGTCGTTTGAATGGCGTCGTATGGCGGCTCGCGCATGAGCAAGGCCTTGTAGTTCAGGATTCGCGGGTCGCGGCGAATGGCTTCCAGCTCTTCGCTCCTGTCAGGAATCTCGCCATCTCTCTTGTTGTTCCAGTGACCCTTGGAGAGTGAGGTCATGCTGTTATCATAGCATTTCTGGGTGTTGGAGACGCACGCTGTGTTACAGCATTTGTCATTGAAGACGAAAGTAGTGCACTCTGAACGGCAGTATTCGTACTCGTCGGTCCCGGCGTTGTATGCGCTCGCACATTGCTCGAAGCAGCCGAGTCGAATGGTGTCTTTACTCTGGTCCAGGCAATTGTCGCAGCCGATTGCGTTGACTGCCGATGCTCCGGCCAGTGCAACGGCGACGATCAGGTTGGTAAAATGCATGGTGGGTTTAATGAGCCGATTTCTTTGCACTTCTGTTCGACGAATTGAGATGAGTGTTGAGATGAACTCTCTTAGCATGCGGCTCATGGCACGACTACTTATGAACAGCCAGTATCTTAGCCTCCTCTGTTCATCACAGATCATGAGAGCAGTTAGTCCTTCGGATACAACACGAAGCTCTCACGGAGCTCATCCTTTACAACAAAGCAACCAACATAAAGCGTGAGTGTTGCTCCCTCTTGCTCCTGATTCGACGTTGGAAACCCAATCCAGGGCCGCAGGGCTCATCTCTAGTCCTATTGTGCTCCATCGCCTTCCTTCAGGAGAACGGATATGTCCCGAGAGCTGAAACGAGGGAAGACTGCTCCACATTTGTACGAAACCTTTGGATTCCAAAGTTGGTCCCAACGAAGATTAAATTAGTCTTCCCTTCACAGGATGCACCAAAAGCAGAGCAATCTCGAAAAGGGACGAGGTCCTCTATGGATTGTTCGTCGTTGATGTTGCTCATGTTTCAGTGAATGGGGTAAATGTGACTCGGACCAACTTCAACATTATCCGGCGATTCCGGGTAGAACATGTGCTACTATCTGTCTACGAATTGTTACATTTTCCTAATGTTTGCTGCTAATGTGTTGAGAAGTTTTTTTCGGTCCTGCAAACTCATGATGCTTGACCCGCCATAAAGAAAGAGGTCCAATAATGGGATAGTCGAATTCGCCACGAATCACTAGCA